TAGGCTCCAATAATTTCACTAAGTGAAATTTGTGCAATTGGTTTTGAAATTTTATTTTGTCAGAAGATTGTATAGCCACGATATGGCTGAAATACTGCCTACTCTAAATCTTAACTCACTCACTCACTCACTCACTCACTCACTCACTCAGAAGATTGTAGAACACAGAAACATTAATTATTTATTCCGCTTTATTTTTTTTCATGGAATTCAAGTTTTACCAAAACGTTTGGACCGACTGCCATATCTAAGCCATACTGCAATGCAGTATATGAAAATAAGTGGAATCAAAGTGTTTTTTACTTTAACAATGAGATGTTCATTTTCCTTAATAAGAAGTATTTCATCATCATTTCATGTTATTCTTTTACGGTAAGATTTGCTCAATCTTACAATTACTGCTTTTTACTTATTTGATTTACATGCCAGTCACTTAAATCCATTTGTTCTGCGCTGGGTGCATCACGCTGTTATATGTAAGTCACACTTTACTGAAGAGGGGCTACAAGGGGAAACCCGTGCTTGTCGTAAAAGGCGACTAATGGGATCGGGTGGTCAGGCTCGCTGACTTGGTTGATGCATGTCATCGACCCCAAGTGCATGGATCGATGCTCATGATTTCAATCACTGGATTTTCTGGTCAAGACTAAATTTTTTACCGACTGCCATCATACAGCTTGAGTATTCCTGAGCACGGCGTTAAACAACCAACCAACAAGAGGAAATCCCTGTGCAGTTAAGAATCATTGATAGCACTGAACATATTTCAATGCTTTTATAACATATCCATTAAACTTGGTTTTTACAGAAGAAAAAATGCTTTACATACGTTATTGTGCTTATGTATATCAGCAATGGGTAAAAACTGTACATGTGCATAGAGTTGGGTTTGTTAGGGTTCATCTGACTTTTATGATTTACACAGCCTCATATCAGTGGATGGCTGATGATGACACCCATCACCTCTGCATCACAAAGCACTTGTATCTTTACAATGTACAGAAGCCCACGGAGAATTGGCAATAACTTATGTCCAACTTATAGTTGATTAAATTGATTAAAATGATTTAATAATTAGGAGATAAAACTGCTGTGTTTTGAAATTTGATGTAGTCCCACTGTAGAGTAGATACTTGTATTTTAATTTGGAACAGAACTTTTGCGCGAGGTTTCAAATGTATAAATAAGAGGTATCTGCTCTACAGTGGGACTACTTCAAACATCCGCACACAGGCATGCACGCACATGGCATTGATTCTAAGTGACACTACAAGCAGACAGATACGTGGCCTTGATGTCAATGACACTACTATGCCACCCATATTATGTTTATAAACAATAGATCGTGTGAGCCATCTAACAGTCATTTCAACTAATGAAACCAATGTAATGAAAATGTCACTAATGCATGTAACAACACTATACCACTGTGCACACAGCAATGGCAACAATAGATTGTTTACCGTTTGGATCAGCCAGGAAGTTGCAAATTGTCCAGTGTTTTCATACTTTTGCTTTTATTTGTTACTCATATTAATCATTATCCACTGTTTTAAATTGCAAATGTTCTGTGTTTTGGTTAAAATTTGAGATACTTTTTACTCTCCTGAAAAAACAAAGACATTATAAGTTGTAGCTGGATCACGAGGGTTACATGGGGTTTGATGTGTCCCGCATTAGGTTTTAAACCACGAGGCAGAGGCGAGAATGACACAAATGCTTTCATTGTTTTATGGCTATCAAAACTATCGATAGTCCATCATGGCAACATTGTCAACTATCGATAGTCCATCATGGCAACAATGGCAACTATCTAAGTCCATCATGGCAACGATGTCAACTATCAATAATCCAACATGGCAACGATGTCAACTATCGATAGTCCATCATGGCAACAATGTCAACTATCTAAGTCCAACATGGCAACAATGTCAACTATCAATAGTCCATCATGGCAACAATGTCAACTATCAATAGTCCATCATGGCAACAATGTCAACTATCGAGAATCCAACATGGCAACAATGTCAACTATCGATAGTCCATCATGGCAACAATGTCAACTATCGAGAATCCAACATGGCAACAATGTCAACTATCGATAGTCCATCATGGCAACAATGTCAACTATCTAAGTCCAACATGGCAACAATGTCAACTATCAATAGTCCATCATGGCAACAATGTCAACTATCAATAGTCCATCATGGCAACAATGTCAACTATCGAGAATCCAACATGGCAACAATGTCAACTATCGATAGTCCATCATGGCATTAATGTCAATTATCAATAGTCTTTCATGGCAACAATGTCAACTATCGATAGTCCATCATGGCAACAATGTCAACTATCGAGAATCCAACATGGCAACAATGTCAAGTATCGATAGTCCATCATGGCAACAATGTCAACTATCGAGAATCCAACATGGCAACAATGTCAACTATCGAGAATCCAACATGGCAACAATGTCAACTATCGATAGTCCATCATGGCAACAATGTCAACTATCGAGAATCCAACATGGCAACAATGTCAACTATCGATAGTCCATCATGGCATTAATGTCAATTATCAATAGTCTTTCATGGCAACAATGTCAACTATCGATAGTCCATCATGGCATTAATGTCAACTATCGATAGTCCATCATGGCATCGGTGTCAACTATCCATATTTCAACTTGTAATTGCTGTTATCAGACCACAGACAATCACAATGCTGGGATAGTTCAGTCTGTCGATACACCTCTATCTGGTACTCTTTCTCTCTGTTTTAAGATAGAAAAAAAAGAAAGAAAAAAGCTGTTTATTTGTATTGTTGCTTCTTTTGACGACAGCTTCCAAGAATTTCAGTTGACCCCTAAACAAATTAATAGACTCCTTTGGAAACTTTTTGAAAAAGTAAACTTTCTATAGAAAATGTTCCATGTCATTTTAATTTTATTAACCTTAAATAAAAAAAAAAATGAAATTGATCTCTTAAAAGGTCTGTGTAGGTGAAAGACTTAGAGTATCATTGGACCTATTCAATGAACAGTAGGTAACCTAGTTTTGAATGAGGATATCAATAATTTGGAGTTTCGGATGACAGACATTTGTTACAAGACTTGAGAAGAAACAAAAAATGATTATATTTTTGACGTTTGTGAAATTCATGAACCAAGTAATAAAAGATGAGTATAAGGGTGATTAAAACATAAGGAAAACTGACTTACCATCTGCGCATAGTAAAACATTTGCAGGCAGACAGGTGCGCCAGGATCCTAATGTATGGCTACTGACCATCACCACTGATTCATGCTCTTCCCTTAGACATGAGGATCGATATCCAGGAGCTTGTCCTTTCATGCTTCGACTACAATAGCTTATATTTACAGCCAGTTCTCTCTGATCCAGCACTCTGGATGGACCACACACTATGTCAATACGTTGGCTCTATGTATTTGATGTAAGGCAAATTTAGTTTATTAACTGACTTATCAGTGACCAGCGACATACTTGGGTCTGCAGATTATGTGAGAGGCGGGTGTTACTGGTAGGGCTGGACATGCTTACCTTTTCACTAAACCCTTGTGTCATTACTGATTTTCAGTGATCCATGAATATAATTCTCACTTCTCTTTTGCCTTTTTATGCTAAATGGAATCTGTTTCGTCGGATAATTGAGACTGGTTATTATCCGTTGTTGACGTGGCATGTTTACAGATTTGATGACCCTAAAGTAATTCTAAGTGGAAAATAAAAATGAAAAGCACTTATTTTTATCCTGCTAAATATGCAAAGTTCATCTGCTTAGTTGCTCAAAATCTTAATTAGTGCCTTTTGCTATTTTGAAATATTTTTAAAAATATTTTTTTATGTTTTTATAGAATTATTATGGACACAAATGAGCATAGACTTCGTTTCCGGGCCATTACTACCAGTTGTTGGACTTTCATTTTTTTAAGCCTAGTTTGCTGAATGGGTTAGATCGCTGACTATTTGTGCTGGGATTAGGTGCCTCACTATGGCAGTGTGGGTTCGAATCCTGGGTAGGACTCAAGCCAAAAAAGTACTAGAATCTGTACTTTACTAAGAAAGTATATCCCAAATATAACATTTGTTACATTAAGCTACTGATTGTTCATTATGGGCACTCCAACTTTCACAATAAAATCTATCATCCATACTGCTGATACAAGTTCAATAGTGTTATTTTATGAGTAAGAACACATTTTAGTTATAAACCTTTTGAAGAACACCAAAATTAGTCGGAAGAATCTTTTTACTTCTCTTTTCTTCCCACCAGCTGAGCAAAATTGTTCACAAGTAAGTCCTTAAACCAAGGAATAAAAAGTCCTCCGTTAGTTTTGTTTGGTCATTTATTATGTGTATGTGTTCACATTCATTCAAAACATTTTTAGCTCACCTGACTGAAAGGGAAATGAGCTGATGTCATGGCATGCTGTCTGTCATCCTTTTATATTTCCCACATCTGCTCTGAAACTACAAGACCTTTGAAGCTGACACTTTGTGAGAATGATCCCAGCTATGGTCTCATGGACCATATAGGACCAATAGTCTTCATGGAATTTCAGTACGAATTCAAACATGTCTGCCATGGTGGCCATTTTTGAAAATGTCATTTTTGGCCATTACACAGCCATATCTCTATGTATATGAAATTTAATACAAAACAAGTGTTTTTGAGAATAAAATATATGTTTTTTAGCATATTTTGATTTTTCCTGCTATGATATTTGAACACATTTTCAAGTGATACTGCACTTTCAACGGCTGTGAAAGTACAAGGTCTATAAGTTGAAACTTTGCAGGCGCTAGAAACTAACAGTTTTTAGCCCACTAGTCCTTATGATGATAACATATAGCAAAACCCTTAAAAAAGGAGGTACTCATCTAAGAACTGAATCAGTTAGGGTTTCCCTGACAATTAGGCTGACACGCCATTTTACTATGGAAACACTGTTGACAATGTTCTTTCAATTCTGATTTTAGGAACTCAAAGAAGACTGAAGACAGTGTTGAGGAGGAAGATGATGATGACTATGATGATGATGACCTTATGAGTGTCCGAGCTACGATGCAGAGCCTCCTTATTGATGATGACAGTAAGGCATTCTGAGACAGTTTCTTGACGTGAATTTGTACATGTTCCATTTATTGCAGTTTGTCTAGCATTGTCATCAACTGCCATTGACCCGTGAAGATCTGGGTAAGAATAGGTCTTCAGCAACCCATGCTTATTTAAAGAAGCGACTAGGCTTGTCGCTTATCGGGTGGTCAGGCTCGCTGAGTTGGTTGATGCCTATCATCGTATCCCAATTGTGTGGATTGATGCTCATGAAGTCAATCACTGAATTGTATGGTCCAGACTTGATTATTTACACACCACCTTCATATAGCTGGAATATTGCTGAGTGTGGCGTAAAACATCAAACAAACAAACAAATCAACCACAATGTTTAGTGGAGAATATCAATATAATTAGGATGTGATCCCAAATTCAAAATGTTGAGTGTTCTTGTATGTATTCACCCATTACAAACAAGCGACATTTGAGCCAATACCTGGACACATATGCTTGTTAGTCAATACCCCCCTTCACAAACACTCATTATAATCATGAAGATTACAGTCAACATATGCTTGAAGGTCAATGAATGCCTCAGTAGTTGGTCATTATGTTAAGGTTCAATAAAGTGAGTGAGTATGGTGTTATGCCGCTTTTAGCAATATTCGGGCAATAAGTAAGTATACAGTTTGTTGTAGGCTGTTCTTAAAGTGTAATTTCAGGGTGGACAAATAATGATTCTTGTACAGTTTTTGGGGTTTCATGTGTTTTGTGATGTGCTTCCAGGTGGGGGCTCCAATAAGATCCCATTCAGTCTGTCCACTGAAGATGCTGGAGAACAACCCGATGGAGAGGACAGTCAGGGAGGAGATGAAAATGGGGAGGGAGCGGAAGGAGAGCAAGAAGAAGTGGAGGAGGAAAATAAATATGAGGATGACAATGATGATGACAATGATGAAGAATTGAAACGACTTATTGATGGTGATGATGATGATGACAGAATCTCCACATCAGATCTCTTTGGTAGGAAATAGTACTGGCGTTGACTTATGCCTATTGTTTTCATCAAATATTTTATGATAGGAATGTATAATGTATAATAATTAATATTCTTCACACCGGTATATTTACTTTCTCATAATCAGTACAGAGTGAGTGAGTTGGGTTTAACGCCGCTTTTAACAATATTCTCGTTGTATCACGGCGTGTCAGCTCAATGTGGGAGGAAAGCCCGAAATGATGCAGGTCTCAAACGTTTACCACTTCAGTGAAACCAATGAGCACAGGTATGGTGCTGACAAACCTAGAAACATAATCAGGGCGAACCATGATTCGAACCAACAATCATTGTTTTCTGGCATGCCCAAGGGACGCAACCCTGAACACTGAATCGCAGCGCCTTAGACGACTGGGCCACCCGTGGCACCCTAATCAGTATTGAGGCACAGCAATAATATCAATTCATACACAGGAACACACCCATTGGTGAATCTTGGTTGGACTTGGCCGCCAGGAGCCTATTCTTGTCATGTGAGGCAACTTAATGGATTTGGTGGCCTGGATATTGTTGATTGTATGTCAGTGTACCACAACAATGGTGAGTGATGTTCTTAACATCAATCACTGGTTTGTCTTGATTACACAAGATTCCATCATAAACAACTGTAAACACAACTTTTGTGGACTGAATGCAAACAAACCAGGAAATAAGTAACACCCAGTCTGTTTTCTTCCTATACTATGCCCCGGTGGGGATTCTGGGTTAAATGTGAGGTGAAATGGGGTTAAATGTCGTGTTCAAGATTATTGCACTTCTATGGCGATGTGCATGTACATGTGTGGCTGTTTGTACTAGTCGGGACAAATAGTGCTAGTGCCCACTAAGATACCATGCCACAGTTTTACATGAATACCCCACTTATGATAGAGTGTACTAACTCTGAGCAGACCAGTCCTTGTTCTTGCCTCTTAATGCTGAGTGCGAGGCAGGGTAACAACATGTACCATCTTTTAGCATCTTTTGGTGTGACACGGCTGGGGATCAAACCCCCAACCTTCCGCTCTTCTGCAAATGTGTTTAAGTTTCATTTTCATCAGCATCAAGAGCTTGTGAAATGAAATGTTATATATATTATAATGTGTAACAAGTTGCCATGACTGCATATGTTGAAACCTTGTTATCACCAGATGACAGTGATGGAGAGACGCAGTTCGGGGATGATGATGATGACGATGATGACCTGTTCAGTCGTCTGGAGCAGCAGCGAGCTGAGCTGGAGGCAGCTCTTGGAGACAAGCTCATTGAGGTCTACAAGGCTGTTCAGGTATAACCTCACTGGAGGCACTGACATTGACCAGTGTGTGTATGTAGTATGCTTCTTGTCTAAAACAGGTGTGTGTCTGTATTAAGCTCTTTGATAATGACCAATATGTTTGTGTGTTATACAATTTGTTAGTGACAGGTATGGGTCCGTATTATGCTTCTTGACAATGACCAGTATGTGGCTGTATTAATCTCAATGACAATGACTGTTATGTGTCTGTATTATCCTTCTTGAAACTGACTAATATGTGTCTGTATTATGCTTCTTGACAGTCACCAGTGTGTGTCTGTTATGCTTCTTGACTATGACCCATGTGTGTCTGTATTATGCTTCTTGACAATCACCAGTGTGTGTCTGTATGGTACGTATTGACAATGACCAGTGTGTGCTTCTTGACAATGACTAGTATGTGTCTGTATTATGCTTCTTGACAATGACCAGTATGTGTCTGTATTATGCTTCTTGACAATGACCAGTGTGTGTCTGTATTATGCTTCTTGACAATGACCAGTATGTCTGTATTATACGTCTTGACAATGACCGGTATGTGTCTGTATTATACATCTTGACAATGACCAGTATGTGTCTGTATTATACATCCTGACAATGACCGGTATGTGTCTGTATTATACATCTTGACAATGACCAGTATGTGTCTGTATTATACATCCTGACAATGACCAGTATGTGTCTGTATTATACATCCTGACAATGACCTGTGTGTGTCTGTATTATACATCTTGACAATGACCTGTGTGTGTCTGTATTATACATCCTGACAATGACCGGTATGTGTCTGTATTATACTTCTTGACAATGACCTGTGTGTGTCTGTATTATACGTCCTGACAATGACCTGTGTGTGTCTGTATTATACGTCTTGACAAGTGACCAGTGTGTGTCTGTATTATACGTCTTGACAATGACCTGTGTGTGTCTGTATTATACTTCTTGACAATGACCAGTGTGTGTCTGTATTATACATCCTGACAATGACCAGTATGTGTCTGTATTATACATCCTGACAATGACCAGTATGTGTCTGTATTATACATCCTGACAATGACCAGTGTGTGTCTGTATTATATGTCTTGACAATGACCAGTGTGTGTCTGTATTATATGTCTTGACAATGACCAGTGTGTGTCTGTATTATACATCCTGACAATGACCAGTGTGTGTCTGTATTATACATCCTGACAATGACCAGTATGTGTCTGTATTATACATCCTGACAATGACCGGTATGTGTCTGTATTATACATCCTGACAATGACCTTTGTGTGTCTGTATTATACTTCTTGACAATGACCAGTGTGTGTCTGTATTATACTTCTTGACAATGACCAGTGTGTGTCTGTATTATACTTCTTGACAATGACCAGTGTGTGTCTGTATTATACATCCTGACAATGACCAGTGTGTGTCTGTATTATACTTCTTGACAATGACCAGTGTGTGTCTGTATTATACTTCTTGACAATGACCAGTGTGTGTCTGTATTATACGTCTTGACAATGACCAGTGTGTGTCTGTATTATACATCCTGACAATGACCTGTGTGTGTCTGTATTATACATCCTGACAATGACCAGTGTGTGTCTGTATTATACATCTTGACAATGACCAGTATGTGTCTGTATTATACATCCTGACAATGACCGGTATGTGTCTGTATTATACATCTTGACAATGACCAGTATGTGTCTGTATTATACATCCTGACAATGACCAGTATGTGTCTGTATTATACATCCTGACAATGACCTGTGTGTGTCTGTATTATACATCTTGACAATGACCTGTGTGTGTCTGTATTATACATCCTGACAATGACCGGTATGTGTCTGTATTATACATCCTGACAATGACCAGTGTGTGTCTGTATTATACATCTTGACAATGACCTGTGTGTGTCTGTATTATACATCCTGACAATGACCTGTGTGTGTCTGTATTATACATCCTGACAATGAACAGTGTGTGTCTGTATTATACATCTTGACAATGACCAGTGTGTGTCTGTATTATACATCTTGACAATGACCTGTGTGTGTCTGTATTATACTTCTTGACAATGACCAGTGTGTGTCTGTATTATACATCCTGACAATGACCAGTGTGTGTCTGTATTATACATCCTGACAATGACCAGTGTGTGTCTGTATTATACATCCTGACAATGACCTGTGTGTGTCTGTATTATACATCCTGACAATGACCAGTGTGTGTCTGTATTATACATCCTGACAATGACCAGTGTGTGTCTGTATTATACATCTTGACAATGACCTGTGTGTGTCTGTATTATACATCCTGACAATGACCAGTGTGTGTCTGTATTATACATCCTGACAATGACCAGTGTGTGTCTGTATTATACATCTTGACAATGACCTGTGTGTGTCTGTATTATACATCCTGACAATGACCAGTGTGTGTCTGTATTATACATCCTGACAATGACCAGTGTGTGTCTGTATTATACATCTTGACAATGACCTGTGTGTGTCTGTATTATACATCCTGACAATGACCTGTGTGTGTCTGTATTATACATCCTGACAATGACCAGTGTGTGTCTGTATTATACATCCTGACAATGACCAGTGTGTGTCTGTATTATACATCTTGACAATGACCTGTGTGTGTCTGTATTATACATCCTGACAATGACCTGTGTGTGTCTGTATTATACATCCTGACAATGACCAGTGTGTGTCTGTATTATACATCTTGACAATGACCTGTGTGTGTCTGTATTATACATCCTGACAATGACCAGTGTGTGTCTGTATTATACATCCTGACAATGACCAGTGTGTGTCTGTATTATACATCTTGACAATGACCTGTGTGTGTCTGTATTATACATCCTGACAATGACCTGTGTTTGTCTGTATTATACATCCTGACAATGACCAGTGTGTGTCTGTATTATACATCCTGACAATGACCAGTGTGTGTCTGTATTATACATCTTGACAATGACCTGTGTGTGTCTGTATTATACATCCTGACAATGACCTGTGTGTGTCTGTATTATACATCCTGACAATGACCAGTGTGTGTCTGTATTATACATCCTGACAATGACCAGTGTGTGTCTGTATTATACATCTTGACAATGACCAGTGTGTGTCTGTATTATACATCCTGACAATGACCTGTGTGTGTCTGTATTATACATCCTGACAATGACCAGTGTGTGTCTGTATTATACATCTTGACAATGACCTGTGTGTGTCTGTATTATACATCCTGACAATGACCAGTGTGTGTCTGTATTATACATCCTGACAATGACCAGTGTGTGTCTGTATTATACATCTTGACAATGACCTGTGTGTGTCTGTATTATACATCCTGACAATGACCTGTGTGTGTCTGTATTATGCATCCTGACAATGACCAGTGTGTGTCTGTATTATACATCCTGACAATGACCAGTGTGTGTCTGTATTATACATCTTGACAATGACCTGTGTGTGTCTGTATTATACATCCTGACAATGACCTGTGTGTGTCTGTATTATACATCCTGACAATGACCAGTGTGTGTCTGTATTATACATCTTGACAATGACCTGTGTGTGTCTGTATTATACATCCTGACAATGACCTGTGTGTGTCTGTATTATACATCCTGACAATGACCAGTGTGTGTCTGTATTATACATCTTGACAATGACCTGTGTGTGTCTGTATTATACATCTTGACAATGACCTGTGTGTGTCTGTATTATACATCCTGACAATGACCAGTGTGTGTCTGTATTATACATCCTGACAATGACCAGTGTGTGTCTGTATTATACATCTTGACAATGACCTGTGTGTGTCTGTATTATACATCCTGACAATGACCAGTGTGTGTCTGTATTATACATCCTGACAATGACCAGTGTGTGTCTGTATTATACATCTTGACAATGACCTGTGTGTGTCTGTATTATACATCTTGACAATGACCAGTGTGTGTCTGTATTATACATCTTGACAATGACCTGTGTGTGTCTGTATTATACATCTTGACAATGACCAGTGTGTGTCTGTATTATACATCTTGACAATGACCAGTGTGTGTCTGTATTATACATCCTGACAATGACCAGTGTGTGTCTGTATTATACATCTTGACAATGACCTGTGTGTGTCTGTATTATACATCCTGACAATGACCTGTGTGTGTCTGTATTATACATCCTGACAATGACCAGTGTGTGTCTGTATTATACATCCTGACAATGACCAGTGTGTGTCTGTATTATACATCTTGACAATGACCTGTGTGTGTCTGTATTATACATCCTGACAATGACCTGTGTGTGTCTGTATTATACATCCTGACAATGACCAGTGTGTGTCTGTATTATACATCTTGACAATGACCTGTGTGTGTCTGTATTATACATCTTGACAATGACCAGTGTGTGTCTGTATTATACATCTTGACAATGACCTGTGTGTGTCTGTATTATACATCTTGACAATGACCAGTGTGTGTCTGTATTATACATCTTGACAATGACCAGTGTGTGTCTGTATTATACATCCTGACAATGACAAGTGTGTGTCTGTATTATACATCTTGACAATGACCTGTGTGTGTCTGTATTATACATCCTGACAATGACCAGTATGTGTCTGTATTATACATCCTGACAATGACCAGTGTGTGTCTGTATTATACATCTTGACAATGACCTGTGTGTGTCTGTATTATACATCCTGACAATGACCAGTATGTGTCTGTATTATACATCCTGACAATGACCTGTGTGTGTCTGTATTATACATCCTGACAATGACCAGTATGTGTCTGTATTATACATCTTGACAATGACCTGTGTGTGTCTGTATTATACATCCTGACAATGACCAGTGTGTGTCTGTATTATACATCCTGACAATGACCTGTGTGTGTCTGTATTATACATCCTGACAATGACCAGTGTGTGTCTGTATTATACATCTTGACAATGACCTGTGTGTGTCTGTATTATACATCCTGACAATGACCAGTATGTGACTGTATTATACATCCTGACAATGACCGGTGTGTGTCTGTATTATACATCTTGACAATGACCAGTATGTGTCTGTATTATACATCCTGACAATGACCGGTATGTGTCTGTATTATACATCTTGACAATGACCAGTATGTGTCTGTATTATACATCCTGACAATGACCAGTGTGTGTCTGTATTATACATCTTGACAATGACCAGTATGTGTCTGTATTATACATCCTGACAATGACCTGTGTGTGTCTGTATTATACAACTTGACAATGACCAGTGTGTGTCTGTATTATACATCCTGACAATGACCTGTATGTGTCTGTATTATACATCTTGACAATGACCAGTGTGTGTCTGTATTATACATCCTGACAATGACCAGTGTGTGTCTGTATTATACATCCTGACAATGACCAGTGTGTGTCTGTATTATACATCCTGACAATGACCTGTATGTGTCTGTATTATACATCTTGACAATGACCAGTGTGTGTCTGTATTATACATCCTGACAATGACCAGTGTGTGTCTGTATTATACATCCTGACAATGACCTGTATGTGTCTGTATTATACATCTTGACAATGACCAGTGTGTGTCTGTATTATACATCCTGACAATGACCAGTGTGTGTCTGTATTATACATCCTGACAATGACCAGTATGTGACTGTATTATACATCCTGACAATGACCGGTATGTGTCTGTATTATACATCCTGACAATGACCAGTATGTGTCTGTATTATACATCTTGACAATGACCTGTGTGTGTCTGTATTATACATCCTGACAATGACCAGTGTGTGTCTGTATTATACATCCTGACAATGACCTGTGTGTGTCTGTATTATACATCCTGACAATGACCGGTATGTGTCTGTATTATACATCCTGACAATGACCAGTGTGTGTCTGTATTATACATCCTGACAATGACCAGTGTGTGTCTGTATTATACATCCTGACAATGACCAGTATGTGTCTGTATTATACTTCTTGACAATGACCAGTATGTGTCTGTATTATACATCTTGACAATGACCTGTGTGTGTCTGTATTATACATCCTGACAATGACCAGTATGTGTCTGTATTATACTTCTTGACAATGACCAGTATGTGTCTGTATTATACATCTTGACAATGACCTGTGTGTGTCTGTATTATACATCCTGACAATGACCAGTGTGTGTCTGTATTATACATCTTGACAATGACCTGTGTGTGTCTGTAGTATACATCCTGACAATGACCAGTGTGTGTCTGTATTATACATCTTGACAATGACCAGTATGTGTCTGTATTATACTTCTTGACAATGACCAGTGTGTGTCTGTATTATACATCTTGACAATGACCTGTGTGTGTCTGTAGTATACATCTTGACAATGACCAGTGTGTGTCTGTAGGCACTGCAGGAGGATGAAGATGGCAACATGGAGGAGGGAGCAAGGATGGCCATGGATATGCTGGGGAAAGAACAGGAACACCTCTACCCAAAAATATTCCAGCTAGTTTTGTCTGACACTGCTTACACTGAAGGTAAGGTCATGTGTTCAGAGTAAGACACCTTGATCAACCTGGATTAGAATAGATTCCCAGAACACATTTGCTTGTCTTCAGAGGTGACAACATTGGATCAGGCAAACACTTGGCTACTGCATGACTTGGGTGATTCCATTTCATGACTTTTTGCATTGGGCATAATAACAACTGGTTCCTCTGGTCCAGACTGCCATGATATAGTGGGAACATTACTAGCTGCGGTATTAAACAACATTCTCTCACCCAATATAAGAATATGGGTTCACATTAGGATCATATTTACATATCTTGAAAGTATTCACTGATCTTGGATTGATTTATGCCATGATATTTGTCCAGTTGTCGGACATTCATTTTTGTGGAAGCCTCAGTGGCTGAGTGGGTTAGATCGCTGACTTTGTATGCTGACTATTAGGTGCCTCACTCTGGCAGTGTGGGTTCGAATCCCGGATGTGACTCAACCCAAATAAGTTCTAGAATATGTACTTTTCTAGTTGGTTGGTTTGTTGTTTAACGCCACACTCAGCAATATTCCAGCTTTATGATGGCGGTCTGTAAATAATCGAGTCTAGACCAGACAATCCAGTGATTAATATCATGAGCACCAATCACGCAATTGGTTTGGTTTGTTGGTTTGTTGTTTAACGCCGCACTCAGCAATATTCCAGCTATCTGACGGCGGTCTGTAAATAATCGAGTCTGGACCAGACAATCCAGTGATTAATATCATGGCATCGATCCACGCAATTGGGATCGATGACATGCATCAACCAAGTCAGCGAGCCTGACCACCCAATGCCGTTAGTCGCCTTTTACGACAAGCATAGTCACCTTTTACGGCAAGCATGGGTTGCTGAAGACCTATTCTACCCCGGAATCTTCACGGGTCTTACGCAATTGGGATATGATGACATGCATCATCCAAGTAGTGAGCCTGACCACCCGATCCCGTTAGTCGCCTTTTACGGCAAGCATGGTACTTGACTTAGAAAGTGTTATCCCAAATATAACATTTGTTACATGATATTTAGTAAATTTAGGAGTATGCAGTACAATCGCTCAGTTGAACATCCACACTTCTTTATGCTTACCAGATTTGACTTTTCTACCTGATCTTAGATGTCAAACTGTCATGGGTTATATTGTCTGTTATCATTTCCACAGATAATGCTTAGAAGACACCCACCTATCTGTTGAACGAGTCATCATGGAAAGTGTTGCTGTCGACATCCCCGACAACACCCATGTCTCATGTGATATCAAGGCAGGAAGATTTCTTCTGCTGCCTGGAAAATGTGATCACAGGAATTCCAATCCATCTTGATTCCCAGGAGAATAAACATCTCTTCCATTTTTGGAAGTGAGATAAATTCCTTCTTACTTCTGGGAAACAATCACAAGAATTCAAATCCATCTTGATTCCAGTGAAGGAGTATAAAAATCTCTTCTATTAATGGAAATTAGGAATATATGAATTCTACAGAAGTATTCCATTGTAGGAAGTGAAAAGAGAATGAAAATCTCTTCCGATGTCGGAAGTTAGGCAGATATGAATTCTAATTAAGGATTTTTAAAAAAAATCCATTGTTGGAAGTGAAAAGAGTATTATGCTTTTGAACAGAATCTATTTGATACTTAGACATACGTTGATAGCAGCGTTATGGAGGTCAACATATTTACATATTATATGTATAACCATATTGTTCAATGTTGTTAAATATTGCAGGTAAATGGTATGGGATACGCATAAAAACTACATTGGTATTTGGTCACAGATCATTGGGATCCTTCTGAGGATCGAAAATTGTTACAGTTTAGCAAGCTTTTTTGTGATTTTGCTTCAAATTGTTGATGTACATATATCAAACACATTCTGCAATAGTAGTTCTGTAAATTGTGTGACTTCTATTGAAAGAATATCGAACGAATAACGTTTTTTGTTCGCTTATGTTTCAAAGATAGGGTAACTTTACTTTAAACTCATATTGACTTGACTGCTAATACAGGTCGTGTTTTCGTAGGGGGGGGGGGGGGGGGGGTCAGGTTTTTTATTTGCATATCTGTCACAATATGTATTGTATGCTGTATAAAATCTGTGTCTATGAGCTGCTTCGTCCTGTATTGTTGATACCTAAGTGGCTTCTCTTCACAAGTCTTTATTCCTGCTGATAGTGTTGTATAACATGTATTGTCACTTGCAATCTATAAAAAAAAGTTATGTATTACAAAACAGTTCACATTGTCAAATAGTTTAACAGCTTGATTTTCTGTAAAATGTTTTTTTATTACCTTGACTTTTTATATCTTCCTATATTCCTGTGACAACTCTATGATTGATGTATTGGTTACAGTAACTTGTGGGTTATTTGACACTCAAATATGCCAATCAAATATGAAAGACATGCATCATTTTTCTCCTTTCAAAACCATGTGCGCGAAGCAAGCCACGAATCGCTTAGAGAAAGCAAATTAATTGTTCATCCCGGGGTCTGCAACAGTTGGAAGCGCTTGCGCACTCTTCCAAAATGCGGCGCCACTACCGCTTGGTTGCCTTGCTCTAATGAGGAAGTTAATAGAAGAGGCTCGATGACGAGCTGTTGAAATTTATGACTACTTTGTAGATGTGGAGCAGACTGAGGATGTTAGCTGCCTTTGCACATTTCCCGTTGATCCAGTCAAGAACTTCTTGTTCCGCTGTCAAACTCAGCCGCCATTTTGGTTTGAGAACAAAGCCACCTCGGCCAGCGATTGTTTCGCTTTCAATCGGCTGAAAGGTAATGCACTGTTAGGGCTTTGCGCTTTGCTACGCACCCCATGTGTTACATCAGTCACATGTCCAACAAAGCGTGTCTGAGTTCTTGTTCTGTGGATGTCATAATATATGACTTGAACCTGAGAAGGCTGAGCCTGTGAAGACATATCTACTTCCTGGGATTATAGCTGAATATGCATCAGCAGTTGTACATTACAAGTTTCTTTAGAAGTGTGGATTTAATATATTCTATGTTTCAGGATTATGATTAATGTGTGTGAAGTTACGCTGTTAAGATGCTGTGTTGATGTGATCATTCCTGGTCATGATACTGGAAGCGTTGTGACAGATACACAGTGACACCCACATTACATGTACCCTTGCCATAAAAGGCGACAATGCTTGCCGTAAAAGGTGACTATGCTTGTCGTAAAAGGCGACAAACGGGATCGGGTGGTCAGGCACGCTGACTTGTTTGATCCATGTCATCGATCCCAGTTGAGTGGATCGATGCTCATGATATCAGTCACTGGATTGTCTGGTCCAGACTCGATTATTTACAGACCGCCGTCATATAGCTGGAATATTGCTGAGTGCGGCGTTAATCAATTAACCATCCAAACAAAAACTTTTCACGAACACCTGGTGTCATTGGTTTTCAGCAATCCATTCATATGATTTTTATCCCTATTTTGTCTTTTATGTCCAGTGAAATCACTTTCGGCAGATGGTCAAAATTCTCTGGCAGAGACTATCATATAACATTGTAGCGTAACAGGTCTGGCAGAACATTGACAGACAGATGCATTTCAGGATTAGGCCTTTAGACTAAAGTACACTCATTTGCATGATAATGATATGGCAAGATTAAGTCCTAACATCTTGACTTCAGAAACAAATATGCCTTTGTTTAAGTAGGATCTTTTTCAATGGTTAATACCAGCTTGGCTTTTCAAGCTAAGGTTCATCCATGACATTTTTCTAATTGAATTAAATATATCAGGGGCTCGATTGGACAAGGACACAATTTTGAATGAGGATCTATGCTGAACTCACTTTCAGAAGATGGGTCTTTACCGGTTGTAGATTTCAAGCTTGTAAGAGGTTATAATTTAGTGGTAACAGACGTGGAGTTTGTGAATTCAAAAAGCTATGTTGGTTATTGAGACCAAGGTACTTATCCTAACATTATACCCTGGATGATAGAGGATGTCAATAATGTTGATCCTCTTGTTTCTGTCTACCCTTGATATATTTGATGCCCTGGAGGACTTACAACCTAAGCTAACAGTGTTCCATTGTATACATGGTCTGATTTAGCGGTACACATCAATTGTGGTTTTGTTATGACCATGATGCTGTTGTTTAGCTTTTGTTGTTTGTGATTTGATGATCTTTGTTTGTTTTCTCAGAGTCTGCTTTCAATATGTTTTCTAGATATATTTCTTGTTTGATTCATGCATACCAGTAAACTCCAGAATGGGTATAATAAATAACACTGAAAAATGTTTCAGTAGGTACTGCTTTTACTCTTAAGGTTAAAAAGTAACAAGCATAAGCATCCAATTCGTTTTGAAGAAAAAAGAGAAGAAAATTTGCCAAATGTTCATACAAAGCAATAACAGTTATGCCTGTCTGCAAGAAGTAGATTTGAGAAACCATGGTATAAATCTGTTTCTTATGCACATAAATAAAAGCAACACAATCCATTTCCATGATCATAAGAAATCTCTACTAAAAGCAGAGTCCACTGTACGATTCCACCTACATCATAAGCATGTGTTTATGAATCAATATCAAATAGTGATGATACCAGGTGTTAGTGAAGAGATGAGCATATCCTGTTCCACAGGTGGCACCCATCACAAACACATGCAAAGGCAGGTCTCACGTTCACCTGAAAAAATACAGGAACAAATCAAAATGGAATTTTAATTTTGATCACTGATACGTCACTTTTGGCAATGTACCTGAAATGTACCAGAGAGCTTTGCTGAGGCCTTGTATGTTGTAAACCTGATCAAACACCATTTAAGCAAGAGTTGTATGGGGCTCGTTGAAATCCTTGTCGAAAGACCATGCTTGATTGTACCACAAGAGTTTCAGTAGACACCAAAGGCTGGAGCTGATGAAATATTACACGACATAAAGGGAAAGTTGACTTTGGAAAGTTGAACATGTATTGAAACTTTTGTTGAATCTGATTTTTGAAGCATTTTGTAACATGCCAAAATGTGCATCTCCACCAAAACTGTTTTTTCTTTTCTTTTCTTATCTTCACAATAGTGAAAACGTGAAAATTGCACCGATTCCACATCATCCTAGCAGCTGTGCATCATTGACTTCTTTATACCTCTGTACTTACATGGAGCCATCCATTAATACAGTCTCTGTGGTACTTGCATACCATTGAAATGATCTGTTGTGTATCAATGTTGGTTTGTTATTGTTTTCAGATATATATATTCCATAATATTGTAAATACCTGCGGTCCAATAGTGGTGGGAAGATTTGTCAATGTGAACTGTAGAATGTGTTGCTATGATACAGTGATATCATTATAAGGCTGTGTTGAAACATGAGTGAGTTGATTTTTAGGCTGCTTTCAACAGTATTTGAGTTATATCACCGCATGTCAGGATAATGTATGAAGAAAGCCCAAAGTGATGCAGGTCTTAGCCGTTCATTTGTATAAGATGGCGCTTGTATAGGATAGAAATGTTTCATTTGCTAAGATTAATATCTTTACACCACTGTTCTCAAATGTGATTTGCATTGTGTCATTATTAGCCCAGATATGTCAAAAACATTTCATGTTTTTGATTCTTCCTGCTTTGGTCCATAAATGATGACAGAAGCCTTTTATTGTGTCACATATACATAAAGCAGCTCACTACAGGTTCAAAGGATTGTATGGAGCTGCAAACGATGTGGAGAACTCATTATATGGACAAGGTCTCTGTCTTTGGTTGTGATGTTCTTTTCTGTCTCTGGCTTCAATTCTGGCTTGTGCCACCATCAATCTTCATTGAAAGACTTCAGTACCGTCCAAACAAAATGTGATACAACCACAATGTCCAATCAAGGTTTCATTCCATATGTCCAGCCTTGTCCGTCCAGTCGTGACATCACACTGTCCAGTTAACATTGTGTTATTGTACACCATATTATTGAGTCATGACAGACCTGTAGTATTCTATGGGTCATTTGTCCAAACAATACATTTATTTATAAACGTTTCATATGTGTGTATTGTAGCCAAGAGTCAATTATATATAAATTGTGCAAAATAAAAATCGAAATGCTTTAACGTTTCATGTTATGTGTGACAAAGTTTAGTTTGTTGCTTTTAGATATATGTGAATTGGCATCAAAGTAAGATGTGCTGACAAATTTCAACACCATCTGGTGTCAACACTAACTTGTCCAGGGATTCTTGAATGTTTTGCTTCTATATGGGTTTTACTGTGAGAGATATGAATAGCCATATGTCTTGACATATGAAGGAGATAAATATGCTGTTCCAGTGTTATATGTCAATTTGACACTGCTAAATTGAATGTGGGACTGACTGCTGGTATTTATGCCCAAGATTCTTTGCCACACTTACAGGAAATGCAACTCTGCATTTTGTGATTCACATTTAATATTTAATTTACAAGCTCCTGCATACTTTGATTGAAAAAAAAGTAAATGTACTTACTATAAATATTAGCTTCCTGGTCATATGGTCAAATACCTGTTTCATATTTTATTGAAGAGCCGGGGTAGAATAGCTCTTCAGCAACCCATGCTTGCCGTAATAGGCGACTATGCTTGTCGTAACGGGATCGGGTGGTCAGGCTCGCTGACTTGGTTGATGCATGTCATCGATCCCAATTCCATGGATCGATGCTCATATCAATCACTGGATTGTCTGGTCCAGACTTGATTATTTACAGACCGCCGTCATATAGCTGAAATATTGCTGAGTGTGGCGTAAAACAATAAACAAACAACAACAACCGGATTTGCACCGAGTACCGTATATGGTTGGTATTTCAACGTTCTTTGATCCATAGTGTTACTTATGCCACCTACTTATCCTAAGTGTATTTAAGGAAGTAATGGCGTAACAAGGTCACCGACTGACCATATGGGGTGAGTGAGTGAGTTGATGTTTAACGCCGATTTTAACAGCATTCCAGTTATATCGCGGTGTGTCAGCTTAATGTGGGAGGAAAGCCCGAAGTGATGCAGGTCTTACACGTTTACCACTTCGGTGAAACCAACGAGGACGGGTATGGTGCTGAGAAATCTAGAAACATAATCGGGGCGAACAGGGATTCGAACCCACAATCATAGGTTTCTGGCGTGCCCAAGGGACGTAACTCTGCACAGCGAATTGAGGCGCCTTAGACGACTGGTCCACCCGTGCCCACCTCTGACCATATGGGATCGGACATAAGTCTTATGGTATTTAGAGCCTTTATTGCAGACACTGGTAGGCGTCGACCAAGAGTGTGACGGGAGTCCGAAGTCGTGTCACGTGTGTCCAGTACCTGGCCGGACGTATCTGTTCTCTCTAAACACAGTACAATTATATAGTTTTGTACATGACAGTGAATGCATTTACTGAAGAACGCACTACATTCTGATTGGACAATATAAGCAATACTTATTACACAATTTCATTGGAATGGACATGAATAAATTGACTTTACCTGATTGATATTTATGCTTATCTATCTGTAACGAAGCTGACATCTGCATGACAGATGGCCTGTCGCTTGGGGCGTCATTCAGCAATCCTTAATTCAAATTACGCACACCCTTACAAAGGACGGACAGGTCAAGCTGTAACTCTTAATTATATAATAGAACTTTTATTGTGTGACGTCAGTGCGCAAACTGTGCTAGACGATAAGGTTTTGTTCTTAATGATTGAACTTCTTACTTTGTATTTCTTTATGCTTGTAAATTAGTGAAATCTGTATGCATATTGTAAATGTAAATGTGCATATATTTGGGGGGGGGGGGGGGGGGGGGGGGGGGGTCCCCACCCTGCCTTCAACCATGTCAGCGCACCTGACCACCCGATCCCGTTAGTCGCCTTTTACGACAAACATAGTTGTGATTACGGCAAGCCTGGGCTGCCGAAGACCTATTCTACCCCGGATCTTCACGGTAGGTTCATTTATAACCAGCCGGACGTGACATCTTTGTAAAAAACTTTCGCAGCTCCACGTCCGCAGTATGCTTGGAGGAAATATTTCCCTACAGGATAACACATGGATGTACATGAGCACGAATGGTGAAGCGTGGGAGTGGGGAAGCAACTCGATGCTGGTGGCGGAGTGCTGGTGGACTGCTTACAAGTTACATTTGGCATCTTGATACATCCCAAATTATATATCATAGAGGGTAGGGTTGCCCGCCTACAGCAGGAACCAATTTTATCCATTCTGCTTCACTCCGGATGGCTTAGTGTCCGCTCTACAGCCCAAAATTTGTCAATAGCACTAACCCGGCAGCGCTAGTTGCATAGCAACATGGGTTGCTTGGCAACGGTATTTGAAGGGCAGCGGTTGCTGCATTGGGTTCCCTAACAGGAGTTCAGCTCACTTTCTGCAGTCCACCAGTACCTCCGCATCCGCGACCATTACATCCAAATAACAACTCTTGTCCTGATTTCAAGTTCCGACCTAATGGGGTCATGTTCTTATACAACTTTAAATAGTATATCTGCACGATGCCTTTCTTTTCGTTTGTGCTGCCAATGTACATATGCTGCTATATGAAGCCGTTCGCAATCGGCGGATCATTTACCAGGCTCATGCGCTGACCTGGATGTCACCGACCGCTGTTTTGTTTATTCCTGATCAGATTACTACAGTGTACAGGACGTCGTGACATGCTGCAATGTTGCTGACTACGGTGTTATTCCCCCTTGTCTCCTCATCATTAGGCTGGTTGGTCGGAATGAATGGCTAGGGTGGTTTAGCAGAAAAAAGAGCCTCGGACTTTGTGTTGTCATCTGCAAGAACTGTTTCCATGAAGCGTACCTCGCTATGTTTAAGGTATGTTTGTTTGTTTATTGTTTAACGCTGCACTCAGCAATATTCCAGCTGTATGACGATTGCGTATAAATATGTTTTTGTTTTTTTATGAAAACAAAATCTAGATTTATATAAAAGCAAGTCTAGCAAGCTCTATATCACAGAAATCGGCATCAGGAAAATTATTTGCTTTAAAGCCTTAACGTCGCTTTGAACAGTATTCCAGTAATATCACGGCGTGTCAGCTTAATGTGGGTGGAAAGCCCGAAGTGATGCAGGTCTCAGACGTTTACCACTTCGGTGAAACCCACAGGCATGGGCATGGTGCTGACAAACCTAGAGACATAATCTGGGCAACGATAGGTTTCTGGCGTACCCAAGGGACGCAACTCTGCACAGCGAATTGCAGCACCTCAGACGACTGGGCCACCCGTGCCCACACTTTAAGAACGCAGAGCTTATTGCCTCAGATCCCTGTCTCGTGGCCGAGTTGCTCACGTTGAATTCTTAACCAGGCTTCCGTCTCTCTTTAAAAAAACTGATGGCCGTCTTCCCCTGCTTTCACTAAATAAGTACTTGATGAGGATTTTCTTCAGATTTGTCTGTACGCCTAACACCAAGTCACCTTGACCTCAGCACGTGAGCACGCAATGGGTGAGTGAGTGAGTTTGGTTTTACGCCACTTTTAGCAACATTCCAGCAATATCACGGCGGGGGACACCAGAAATGGGTGTGCCCATGTCGGGAATCGAACCCGGGTCTTCGGCGTGACGAGCGAACGCTTTAACCACTAAGCTACCCGACTTCCCAAGCACGCAATGGATATTGGTGCAAATCACCTGCTTTATCGCTGGCGTTTGCTGTGGTCGGCCACGTGGCCTAGTTCTGTAATGAAAAGGTCATTGAACACATTGAACACATGTTACACCTTTGACAAGCGACTTTATTCGTAATATGCTTCTGATCAACTAGCAGTGAATGGGTCCCTGGTAGGAGTCCATATGGACAGTCAATGTTTAAGGTCTTTGGAACGCTTCCGAAAAGAATCTACACGTAAACTGCCTAGAAATATGGCAATATTCTCGGGAACTGTGACTGCCCCCATTGTCCGCATCTGCCTGAAGTGTCTTCATAACCGGAAGTCACTGGAAGTGACGCCATAGACAGGAGAGTGACATCAAAATCGGACGGTTAAACATGACCGGAAGTGACGTCAGAAACGGAAAAGACGATAAGAGAGATGGTTTGAGAACATCTATGGCGTCATTTATACGCATAACAAATATGACGGTAGTTCAAGTGAATATACTACGTTTGTAGTTTTGCACATGGAGTCTCCAAGTCCTCTCGGAGCGTGATTTTTCACCCTCAGGTATGGAGACAACTATTATAGGATGAAATCACGAGAATAGTATCCGACTGTCAACTTCACTGGGATACTGCCTTACCCGCTGTTAGATAGTGTCAGTGATGTAACAGAGATGGAAGATTCGTAAAAAGTATAGGCGAGGTGAAATGGGGCTTAACATCGCGTCCAAGATTATTGCACTTATAAATTATAGCGACGTGCATGTACGTGTGTGTGTTTGTGTTTATGTGGCTGTTTGTACTAGTATTTATAGTGCTAGCTCACTGAGATACCATGCCGCAGTTTAACATGAATACCCCACTCAGACAAAGTATACTGACTCCGAGCCGACCAGGCCTTGTTTTAGCCCCTTAATGCCGAGCGCCAGACAGGGTAACCATCTTTTAACGTCTTTTGGTATGACGCGGCCGGGGATGGAACCCCGGACCTTCCGCTCTCCGGGCGGACGCTCTACCACTAGACCACGGAGGCGGTCGTAAAAATTATAGAAACATTAGACAACAATATTAATAATCCTAAAAATACTTCACTGTACCTTTATTATATCAGACGTACGTCCACCCTCCTTAGAGTTCTTCTGTCTCTAGATATAGATAGACCTTTGGGAAAGAAAGGACAAACTCAGGAGCTGGATGCTGATTGGCGGTTCTATTTTCTTGACAACTAGTCCTGTTTAGTTGACAATGAAGAAGAATTCTGAAGATTAGTTTTGTGTTATTGCAGCCAAAATACAGGATTGATGGCAATGATATAAAAGAGGTAGTATTCTTGGAATTATTAACAATGATATATTGTTCCTATAACCCTTGTTCTAATCCGAGGTTCTCCCTGATTATGTTTATATAATTTTTAGCTGGAATATTGCAGAGTGAGGCTTTAAACAGACACAAGGTCAACCAAATCACCGTACCTGACCATCCGGTCCGTTAATTAACTTACGACAGGCATAGGATGTTGTGGTCAAACCGTAAGTCTCAATGCAAGCAGTAGAGGTGTTATTACTCTTTGTTCTATGGAGACATTTGTTCATGACATTTTATTCGGCCTGTAAATGCAATCACGCTTCACCAGGGCTGGTTCTGAATGAATAATCGTATGAGTATATATGAGACGGCATATACTATAAAGAAGAACGCCATGTACAAGACGTCAACGATTTTTATTGCTTTAGGCTTTCCTCCTTGAGTGCAAAAAGTTGACTCACCGTGGGATAGGACCTGTGAACATCCGGGTTAGAATAGGTCTTCAGCAACCCCATGCCAGCTGCAACACGAGACTATGCCTGTCGTTATATGCAACTATGCTTGTCGTAAGAGGCGACTATGCTTGTCGTAAGAGGCGACTATGCTTGTCGTAAGAGGCGACTATGCTTGTCGTAAGAGGCGACTATGCCTGTCGTTAGAGGCAACTATGCTTGTCGTAAGAGGCGACTATGCTTGTCGTAAGAGGCAGCTATGCTTGTCGTAAGAGGCAACTATGCTTGTCGTAAGAGGCAACTATGCTTGTCGTAAGAGGCGACTATGCTTGTCGTAAGAGGCGACTATGCTTGTCGTAAGAGGCAACTATGCTTGTCGTAAGAGGCAACTATGCTTGTCGTAAGAGGCAACTATGCTTGTCGTAAGAGGCAACTATGCTTGTCGAAAGAGGCGACTATGACTATGCCTGTCGTAAGAGGCGACTATGCTTGTCGTAAGAGGCAACTATGCTTGTCGTAAGAGGCAGCTATGCTTGTCGTAAGAGGCAACTATGCTTGTCGCAACTATGCTTGTCGTAAGAGGCGACTATGCTTGTCGTAAAAGGCAACTATGCTTGTCGTAAGAGGCAACTATGCCTGTCGTAAGAGGCAACTATGCTTGTCGTAAGAGGCGACTATGCTTGTCGTAAGAGGCAACTATGCTTGTCGTAAGAGGCAACTAACTATGTTTGTCGTAAGAGGCAACTATGCTTGTCGTAAGAGGCGACTATGCCTGTCGTAAGAGGCGACTATGCTTGTCGTAAGAGGCGACTCTGCTTGTCGTAAGAGGCGACTATGCCTGTCGTAAGAGGCGACTATGCCTGTCGTAAGAGGCAACTATGCTTGTCGTAAGAGGCGACTATGCCTGTCGTAAGAGGCAACTATGCTTGTCGTAAGAGGCAACTACGCTTGTCGTAAGAGGCGACTAACGGGTCGGGTGGTCAGGCTCACTGACGTGGTTGATGCACCTCATCGAATCCCAATTGCGCATATCGATGTTCATGATATCAATCGCTGGATTGACTCGATTATTCAACAGATCGCCGGCATATAGCTGAAATATTGCTGAGTGCGGCGTTAAACAAAAACAGACAAACAAACACCGTGAAATAGTGTTTAAAGCGGCGTTAAATCAAACTTCCTCCACCCAAAAGAAGATATCCACCCACTTGGATATCGCTTAAAAACTGTGGCTTCACCATGAAACACTATCGACTTCAGCTTCATAGCATCAATTAGCATCCGGCCACCTAAACAGTTTTCATAGTGTTTTATAAATGTCTCCTTGTCAGGTTTGCTGACAAGTTTGCAATTAATGCTGTACGTGTACGGGACTGTGTGAACGTTATCCAGTGTACTTGTTTGGGTGCTTCTGTGGAGCAAGGGTGTCAAACTTTGCGAGGGCGCCTACCGATCGCAAGATCTTGGGGACCATTTTTAGAAGACACAAATGTCTACAGGGATCCGACATAGGTTGAGAATGAATGCGAGACACGTATAAGAAGAGGTCTACAGTAGAACACGGATATAACGAACACGGATATAGCGAACAAACGGATACAACGAACTGTTAAAAAATCCCCGATTTATCTCCTATATAATATCATATAAAATTTACGTATATAACGAACTCTCTATAGCGAACTAACGGATACAGCGAACTGATACCTGATCACCGACAAGCCCATTTATCACTTATTAGCGACGTGTAACGCGAACTGAGAAATCTCACTCAGTGTTAAGTGTCACTGACAATTGGCTGTATGCAATCAGCGGCGAATCAAAACAATGGCGGCGTATCAATACAATCAGTGGTGACGGATCAACTTTGTTAAATTTGCATTGTATTTATTAACGAAATCACATTTCTAAAAGAATAGTACACCTTGAGTTTTTTGCCTTACAAAGTCATCTTTAACAAAAATCACAAACATTCAATTACTGGCTCTGTTCCCCGAAACGACCTATACTACTGATGGGCGGTCGGGTAGCCTAGTGGTTAAAGCGTTCGCTCGTCATGCAGAAGACCCGGGTTCGATTCCCGACATGGGTACAAGGTGTGAAGCCCATTTTGGGTGTCCCCCGCCGTGATATTGCTGGAATATTGCTAAAAGCGGCGTTAAATCAAACTCACTCACTCACTATATCACTTATAAACGTGACCAACTCCTCACCACTCACCCCTTTCCCTAACCTGCAAAACCACATAATAAATCCATTTCCATATTCAGAACAAATATCTGATAAGAGCAGAGTCCATCATGCGATTCCCTCTATATTTATGTAAATACAAATAGAGAAGACACCAGGTGTTCGTAAAAAGGTGAGCGCATCCTCCCCTACCGTTGGCACCCGTCACAAACACATGCAAAGGCAAGTCAATTGTTCACCTGACAAGAGATCACGGTAACCTTTGGTAAAGTCAAAGACGGCAATTGCATCGGACAACTAGAAATGTCCCCCACAAGCGACTTTAAAAGGCAAATGTGTATACTTACAAATTGTATCCTGTACAAAGGCGGGTATCCAACCAGTCAAAACCTTCGTCGCTCTGCCCGTTTATGGAAAGATGGAGCCAAACTGATTCCACGAAAGGGCACGGGTCACCTTTCGGCTTGTTCCGGAATGACACGAGTGGTCACGAATTTTTTTTATTGTCACATCGTCCTTTATATCTGCATTAATATGACATGAGCCATACGCATACATTAGTGTGACATGAGATCAAGAACTTTCTCACCTGGTACAACAGAACGCACCTTTATATACTTTCTAACCTTTCCGTTCTCACCTTACGTCCATAGTAAATATGGAAATACAGTTCAACTTAAAAGCTTTAAAAAATGAGCTGCAATGGTCCGTGTTCCTCGTCTAATAGTTTATAGTTCAACTGTTACATTTTAATCATGCAGTTACATATAAAGGGAGGTTAAGAAGGAGGCTGCCCAGCCCCTACTGTAATGCCATAGCCCTAAATGAAGCAAGTCTAGATTTCCCACAGCGTCATCTCACTTGGGCTCCTTTTCATTTTAAATGTAATTGCTTGTTTCAATCAAAATACAGTAAAGTACGTTTATAACGAACACGCTTATAACGAACTGACGGATATAACGAACTGATTTTTTTGTCCCGACTATTTGCTATAGTTATGCTGTATATATGCTTATAACGAACTACGGTTATAACAAACTAAAGTAAGAGGTCCCTTTGAGTTCGTTATAACCGTAGTTTACTGTACAGCTGTATGTACATTTGCAGAGATTTAGCCTCAGTCTAAGCAAACTAACGGATATTTCGTTTGTCACACTAACGAAAAAACAACGACAGCGGTAGACTGTCTCCCAGACCCAGGAGAAATTAAGAAAGGAGTCCAACCTAAGTCTAGAAGATGAGGCAAGTCTGAAATTAAGCATTGTTCTGGGCTCCATTTGTATTTTTTATTCTATATTGTGTAGACATAATATTGTTAGATAAGACAACTTTTTTTCTGGGACTAAATGTGAACCTACGACAGAGGCTAAGGCCTGTACAGAGACCAATATATCACAGTGTGTTTGCCACTGCTGAAGCAAGAGCACCTGTAAAATATATTGTTTTGACACGTTAGACACTGATCACGTGCTGTGTGTTGACAGGTGCCTACAGATAAGTGACTCCCGGGATCGGTTGTCAAGGTTCAACTGGGGAAGCACTGCATGGCGAATAGCCGGCGCCTTTAAGGTAGGATACGTGATAAGCCCTTCATTATCAGCATCGTATATTTAATTGTTTCAGTTGATTTAGATATCAACGAACGTTTCATATTTTTTATAAAATGTTATGTAATATTTCTACACGTAGTTCATAATGTGTTATATTTCTAGAGGCAGAAACAAACAAAAAATCAGGGCCCTGTTCAAGAGATTATTTTCGTTTAACAATTGGATTTTAAAAGTCTATTTTGTTATGGACACAAGGTGGGAAGCCCGCTCCTATTGTTCCCGTTATTATGTGCCTTGAATATTACGGAGTTTACGTTGACAGTGTGCTCCATATGCCTCTATATTAACACTGGTAAGGGATGATTTACTGCTCTCTCTCTATAATTGTATGTTGAATCGGGATAAATCTGACAGACTGCGGAATAAATCTACATGCACAAATAGCAACGTATAATGAGAGTATTTGGCAATTGTTAGAAAAGGTTTGGCGACTGTTGATGCTATAGGTAATTAACGCACGAACTCTTCTATAATGTCGCCAGTTACATGAACGTGTGAATATTTTGAGAAAACTTTGATTTCGGTTATTTGGAAGAATCTTTTTGTAAATTCAGTTAAAGTGTTGGTGTTTGAAAGGTGATTTTATGCGCTGCTGTGAAGGTGGTCTTATCTGGTTTCATAAACATCCTACAAAACAACTGGCTGGTTATTGTTTTACTTCGCACTGAGCACTAGATTTCTCACTGTGCAAATAAACGAATCTATATAAATTAATTTCAGTATAGTAATTATAAGTTGATGTTATGAGTAACGTACACCGCCGCCAGGGTACATTTACACGCAACCAACCAGACAGATATGCATTCTATTAAAGTATCACCTGATAAGAAAATATAAAAGATTAAATACATTAAAATATCGAGCCCCTCCATACGGAACTATAAGAGACTAATTTACATAAAATGCAATGAAAGTAAGTTTAACTTAAAAATTAATAGAGAAACTAGGCTAAAATTTAGTGAATATTAGACAGGTATATACAAATTATCATCTCGTTGTTTTTAACTATTTAACATTTGAACATTATCTTTTAATGTCATTTCAGGACGTGACAAAATTTATTTAACCTTTACAATTTGATAAAAGGACATGAAAGTTAACCATATAGAACTTGAATGCAATCGTTTAAAAAGTCGGTGTCTTTGACCAGAGTATTATGGAGAGTGTAGTGAAACGTTGTATTCATCCTCACTAAAATCTTTGCAATAAAATATCACCCGACCCATTTTAGTTACCTCATACAACAAGCGACAGTGTCCTTGGGACCGATTCTAACCCGGGTCTCCAAGTGGTAACAAGCGACAGTGTCCTTGGGACCGATTCTAACCCGGGTCCCATGGTTAACAAGCGACAGTGTCCTGGGGACATATTTCAACCCGGGTCCCATGGGTAACAAGCGACAGTGTCCTGGGGACATATTTCAACACGGGTCTCCATGGGTAACAAGCGACAGTGTCCTGGGGACCTATTCTAACCGGGGTCTCCATGGGTAACAAGCGACAGTGTCCTGGGGACATATTTCAACACGGGTCTCCATGGGTAACAAGCGACAGTGTCCTGGGGACCTATTCTAACCCGGGTCTCCATGGGTAACAAGCGACAGTGTCCTGGGGACATATTTCAACACGGGTCCCAAGGGTTTAAAAAGCTATAATGTCCGGGTGACCTATTCTAATCCGGGTTTCCATGGGGTAACAAGTAACAGTATCCCGAGGACCTATTCAATCCCGAGTGTCCACTGTTTTAGTAAGAAACAGTGTCTTTGAGACCTATTCTAAACCAAATCTCCATGGGGAAACAAGCAAACGGTGTCTTAGGGACCTATTCTAACCCGGGCATCCATGGTTTAACAAGCAACAGTGTCCTGGGGACATATTCTACGCCGGGTCTTCATGGGTAATAAGCAAACAGTGTCCTACGGACCTATTCTAACCTGGTTCCCATCTGTTTTAAGAGAAACAATGTGTAAGGGACATATTCTACCCCGGGTCTCCATAGGGTTAAAGGCAACAGTGTCTTGGGGACCTATTCTACCCCGGGTCTCCATAGGGTTAAAGGCAACAGTGTCTTGGGGACCTATTCTACCCCGGGTCTCCATAGGGTTAAAGGCAACAGTGTCTTGGGGACCTATTCTACCCCGGGTCTCCATAGGGTTAAAGGCAACAGTGTCTTGGGGACCTATTCTAACCCGGGTCTCCATAGGGTTAAAGGCAACAGTGTCTTGGGGACCTATTCTAAACCAAGTCTCCATTGGTCTTTGATGAACATGAAGAAGCCTGGAGCACTGCTTGTAAATGAACCATTTCAGAAATCTTCGTCAACGCATTCAATACATAGGTAGGCAATAATTTACAAATATAATGTACATTGACACTGGTATTGTCTTCCCCATGTCGGAATACACTCAAGGCTCCAATGAATATTTTATTCAAAGTTGCCAGTATGTTAACCATGACATTGTGTCTGGTATTCATGTTTTCACGACTATTAAAAAATGTTACGGGTGTCGGGGTGCCCTAGTGGTAAATGTGTTAATGTTGTCACAGACGGGTTCGTGCCCCACAATATGGTGGCCACGTGACTGAAGAGCATCCAACTTGTTATAAATGTAGATCGATCAGTGATATGCTGCTGGTCATTTTGGAGTTTTTGAAATAAAATATAAACATATTAAATTTCAAGGAACAATATGGCCGAAATACAGACGATGTAAATTTTAACTAATGTTTGTTTGTTATCTAACGCCGCACTCAGCAATATTCCAGCTATATGACGGCGGTCTGTAAATTAACGAGTCTGGACCAGACAATCCAGTGATTGACATCATGAACATCGATCCACGCAATCGGGATCGATGACATGCATCAACCAAGTCAGCGAGCCTGACCACCCGATCCCGTTAGTCGCCTTTTACGACAAGCATAGTCTCCTTTTACGGCAAGCATGGGTTGCTGAAGACCTATTCTGACCCGGATCTTCACGGGTTTTTAACTAATGTATTGACTGATGTGACTGCAGGGTATAATGGTAGACTTACAATTATTATTAGAAATTATTATTAGTTTAAATCCTAATTCCTAAATTACATAAATAATAATAATAAGTTGTCCCTCGTATGGCGCCGGCTTGTCTTTGCTGACCTATCCTAACGATTGAATTTCCAGTAACCATCCATGGACCTATCATTCAGTAAGCGATGGGGCAGGGCAGGGCTAGAGTAATTCTAATGCATCGTTAAACCCAATTCAGTCGCTCAAAGATTACAAAACGATAGATCTTGAAATATGAATAAAACCCACATATAGAACGTATCAATACTTAAAAAACATTCCACGTTTTAATAACGCACGTGACGCACACTCAGCACATTTTCAGTATTGTGTGTCGTGGATATGCACATACATTAAATTTTGTTAAGATATCAGTGATATTGGCAATTCAGACACTGTATTTACATTGATCTGAGCGGAATGACAATCAGCTACTTTTCGCGAGCGTCGATATGACTAACTTATTATTTTCGTCAAATGGCAGTATGTTCCTCACATTTCAACTTCATCGTTGTTAATCAATATTCATTAGGGACATTAAACCGAACTCTATAACAAATAATTCTTTATTGTACAGTGAGGTGCAACGTCTCATCAAAAACTAATATATTTTAATACTGCTTTGTCTTTCTGTTATATGAGTGAGTGAGTGAGTTGGGTTTAACGCCGCTTTTGACAATATTCCAGTTATATCGCGGCGTGTCAGCTTAATGTGGGAGGAAAGCCCGAAGTGATGCAGGTCTCAGACGTTTACCACTTCGGTGAAACCCCCGAGCACGGGTATGGTGCTGACAAACCTAGAAACATAATCGGGGCGAACCTGGATTCGAACCCACAATCATAGGTTTCTGGCGTGCCTAGGGGAAGCAACTCTGCACAGCGAATCGCGGCGCCTTAGACGACTAGGCCACCCGTTCCCCCCTTCTGTTATATGAGCACGACAGGAAGAGTTATTATGTTAGAGTAATTTGACCAAATACGTCATTTTGGACCATTTTGATATTCTTGGTGGAAGAGCATGTATTTTTTTTGAAAAACATAAGTTGTTCCAGAAAATACTGGGAAAGGTTTTTGCCTCGGGTTTGAAAAACCAACTTGTTTCCTGGGCATGTGATCAAAAGTATTTTTTAAATTTGAAGTTTACACGATATACGGCTTTTCCATTGGACGAGAGGTCGGTCACATGACCGTGAAATTGACGTTCATAAGTGTATGAACGACACAATTTGACGTTCATACGTTTTTCACGAGACCGTGTTCTTGAAATGACGTAAACACTGACGGACTACTTCCAAATTCCTGGGGAAACCCCTGGGAATTCCCCAGCACGAAAACATGCATAAGCGTTCTTTCTGATCATTTAGAACCTTTATTCTTGGTCTCAGCGTTTCAGTATACATTGAGAAATGTCAGAGAGCGTGACTGCATGATTGTTCACGAATGTCCTCGCTACGGCCAAGCCTAATGAACAAACGAAGAAATACACATCTAAACTATCGTAGTATCGACTCGATCCGTACCTAGGCTGGCATTGACCTTCTCCAGCAATCTTTGAATTTACCTTAGTGTCTGTTTGACGCATCTTTATTCACCTTTCAATGATCGGCCAGTTGATCAATGATGACTAACAAATGTAACCGCCACAGGTTCATTAACAACTTCGGAAATCTCTCCCGTCACGTTTATCGTGTCGGCCATTTTGACGTCTTGTACTTGATGTAAATGTATTACGACGCGCTGTCATTGTTACTGACTTACTGAGGTAGTTCTTTACAGACTTTTCTCATCTAATGGGGATATGATATGAACACATGTGCTGCGTAAGATGTTTCTGAAGAGCAAGTTGTGCATCCATACGCCCATGTCGCCTCTCTTTTTGAGGAACTATTTTACTCCGCGATATAGCTGG